ATTTTACATCACTGCAAAATTTTATTTTTGGGGAGGGTGCAGACCCCGCATTCACTGTACCCGCTCTCCCCGGACCCCCGCATTCACTATACCCGCTCTCCCCGGACCCCTCATTCACTATATCCGCTCTCCCCCGGACCCCGCATTCACTATATCCGCTCTCCCCGGACCCCGCATTCACTATATCCGCTCTCCCCCGGACCCCGCATTCACTATATCCGCTCTCCCCGGACCCCGCATTCACTATATCCGCTCTCCCCGGACCCCGCATTCACTGTATCCGCTCTCCCCGGACCCCGCATTCACTGTACCCGCTCTCCCCGGACCCCGCATTCACTGTATCCGCTCTCCCCGGACCCCGTATTCACTATATCCGCTCTCCCCGGACCCCGCATTCACTATATCCGGTCTCCCCAGACCCCGCATTCACTATATCCGGTCTCCCCTGGTCCCCATTCACTATATCCTGTCTCCCCAGACCCCGCATTCACTATATCCGGTCTCCCTGGTCCCTGCATTCACTATATCCTGTCTCCCACAGTACACAGAACATGGAAATGCAATTATGTTAAAAAAATTTTTTGCCTATCCTACCCTCAGCTAATACTGGAATCTTCTACTCTTCCAACCAGTCCATCCCCCACAGTTACTACTTTTTGTACCATTAACCCCTCCCTCCTATCCCTCTTGTATTGAACTGTATTGTTGCTGTATTGTCTCCCGTTATATTGTAAACGCTGAGCAAACTGTTGGCGCCATAAATCCTGTATAATAATATAAACTGCTAAATAACTTCTCAACAGCAGTAAGTGGCAGTCTCATGATTTCCAGTAAAACATTGGTTAAAGCTTGTGCCAGGAGTTTTCATTTTGCTCTAGGAGGATGCAGAACCCCTGACCTGTCTGGAAAGCACCGATTAGCCCTGTGCTGATCATATACACTCTCCCAAGAAAATTAAAAAAATAAAAAACACCTAGCAACACACGAAACTGAGCATGTGCAGAGCGTCTCCGCACAACATGTTTTATCAGGAGATAAGGGGACACTGGAAGGTGGTGAGGATCAGGGAAGTCAGGATCAGCGTTTTTACACAATGCAGAGGATCAACCCCTTATGTTCCAAACCTCTCTAGCAATACACACCAAACTGAGCTTGTGCATGTGGCTAAGGGTTCAGTCTGTCTTATCAGGTAGACATTTGAACAAGGAGGAGGGGCAGAAGACAGAATTCAGCCTTTTTACACCATGCAGAGGATTGTTAAGTTCCACAGTGAGTATAACCAGCACGCTTTACTGCATATACAGACTGATTGAAGTTAGTGTTACTAAACCCACAACAGTAAAATCAGAGAGCCAAATGCAGAAGTGGGTTTTGGCCACCAGCTTAATGCAAGTAAAAGAAAGCCACGCAAAAGATTTTTGCCTAAAGGAGCAATTTTATTCAAGTGAATGTCATGAGTTTAACATTAACTTAGCTGAAATTCTAAAATCAAAAGAAGAAAAACTAATACAGTAGACAAGCATTTTTGTCCAACTTAAAACGCTGTTCATACTAACCCTGTCACTACTGTGGGGTCCGCAGTATGCTGTAGCACATTTCCAACAGGAAATTAATTAGAAAATCAATGACATTTAAATATGAAGGAAATCCCTTTGTTGTGGTCTATGGAATACTAGAATGTGTTCTGCAGGTACATAGGGGACAGGTTGGCATCAGCCATCTTGGTGGTTTACAAATCTAGATCTGAAGCAATGGCAGGCACATGTTGGGGTAATATTAACAAAAACGAGTGCAAGGGAAACATTGTGGAGCTTTAAAATGACAAAAATATTAAATTCATTTTTAAAAATTGAAAGAAAAAAAAAAGTGATCGTTTTTCTTTGTGAACACCCCTCCCCCTATTTTTCTTTACAATGTAAAAAATGTGACAATTAAATTTTTTTTTTTTCTGTCTCATGGATGCAGCTCAACCACCTTTCTTACAACCTACAGACCAACTCCAGACACGATAAAATGCACCAAAATTATGGTTCTGTGGGGGTCTTTCCGGTCCGTGTAGGGTTCTATGGGGGTCTTTCCGGTCCGTGTAGGGTTCTATGGGGGTCTTTCCGGTCCGTGTAGGGTTCTATGGGGGTCTTTCCGTCCGTGTAGGGTTCTATGGGGGTCTTCTTTTCGGTCCGTGTAGGGTTCTATGGGGGTCTTTCCGTCCGTGTAGGGTTCTATGGGGTCTTTCCGGTCCGTGTAGGGTTCTATGGGGGTCTTTCCGGTCCGTGTAGGGTTCTATGGGGGTCTTTCCGTCCGTGTAGGGTTCTATGGGGGTCTTTCCGGTCCGTGTAGGGTTCTATGGGGGTCTTTCCGGTCCGTGTAGGGTTCTATGGGGGTCTTTCCGGTCCGTGTAGGGTTCTATGGGGGTCTTTCCGGTCCGTGTAGGGTTCTATGGGGGTCTTTCCGGTCCGTGTAGGGTTCTATGGGGGTCTTTTTCCGGTCCGTGTAGGGTTCTATGGGGGTCTTTCCGGTCCGTGTAGGGTTCTATGGGGGTTTTCCGGTCCGTGTAGGGTTCTATGGGGGGTCTTTACCTTTACATCAGTGTAGTGGTATAGGGTGGGCTGTCAAGTTTAAAAAAAAAAAAAAAAAAAAGTGATCTTGGTTCTGCTGAATAATGCAGCTGCCACTATACTTCTAATTGGCTGCTGATAACCACTGCAGCCTGTCTGTTGGTGTCTCTACTCCCTCTCCCCCAAAACACTGCTTGCATCCATGCTTGAAGTATATTGGGAGAGGTAATGACCGCAATAAAACTTTAAAAAAAAAAAAAAAAAAAAAAAAAAAAAAAAAAAAAAAAAACACAGCCGCCTGCATTCCGCTACAAAGAAACAGATAAGACTTCCTTAGAATTCTACATCCAATATATCTACTCGCATTGGACTTTAAAGCCAAGTTTAGTTTAAATTACAAACAAAATCAGCACAAGGAACAAAAGTGTTGGACTAAATTATGGAAACACCATGTAAAAACAAAAATTGTTAAGCCAATATAATGTTGGGCTGCCTTTGGCATCCAAGACGGCCTGAATTCTCCTGGGAATTTACAAAATTTTGAAAAGCCTTGGATGGTGGATAATGGAATCGGATGCCACTCTTCATGCAAAAATAGTTCTCACAGAGATGCCGGAGGCGGAAAACAAGTCTGAACCTTCTTCTCCAGAATTGGCCATAGTAGTTCTATGATATTGGAGGTCCAGCGACTGCCGTGCGACGATCTGACTACACCGCCTGTGTGAAATCTGAGCATTGTCTAGGCCAGGGGGTAGGAAACATGAGAGCCGCAGGACTAAAAGTTCCATCATGCCTCTGCAAGTCATAGCTGTAACTAGCTGTTGTGGAACTACATTTCCCATGAGGCATTGCAGAGATTACAAAACTGACAGAGCCAGAGGTTGCCTACCTTTGGTCTAGGCAAAGCAGGTAGTGTTTCCACATTTTGTCCAACCCCTGTAACTTACATTTAGTATGATGTGTCCCTTGTGCTGATTCTTCTTGGTTTAGGAGAAATGTTTGTCTTTCCTACCCCTCGCCATCACCTGGTGCAAGTTAACAACACACAGGGGCTGTCAGCAGCACTTAAGACAGAACTACTATGCATGCCGTGACAATCATCCATACTACAGTTTCTACAAATGGGAAACGAGCAAATGAATGACAGATCCTCCCCTGTAGTACGGCTTCTATGAAGGTCACAGCGGTGTGGAAAAGGCATAGTCAAGCTCCTAAAAAGCGCCTTCAGGTGTATTAAAAGCCGCTGTAAAAAGGAAAATTAAGGCATTGGTAGGAAAGACAAAAAATTTCACCTAAACCAAGAAGAACCAGCACAAGGGACACCTCATACTAAATGTAAGTTATGTCGCTCGTGATGATTTTTAGGTTTAAAATTTATTAAAAAAAAAAAAAAAAAAAAAAAAAAAAAAAAAAAAAAACAAAAAAACCTTAGGCTTTAAATTCCAATATACCTTTATGTCCACCATCAAAAGATCCTCCACAGGCACCATGTACTATGGTTGCCAGGAGAGCTCTGCTTAAAGAGATGTGAAGGCAGCTCAAAGCAACTGTAACAAGTACAGGAAAAAAAAAAAAAAAAAAAAAAAAAACACACGTGTTCATTACCAGATCACCTCATTTTCTAAGAGGCGAATACAACTAAAGAGGAACATAATGGTGATTTACTAAAAAAACTGGAGCACACAGAATCTGATGGTTGTGCATAGGAACCAATCAGATTCTAACTTCAGCTGGTTTATAAAAACTGGAAGCTGATTGGTCACCATGCACAGCTGCACCAGATTCTATGTGCACCAGATTTAGTAAGTCTCCCCCAAGAGGAAATGTAAAAGCAATTGGGGACCAAAAACAAAAAAAAAAAAAAAAAAAAAAAAAAAAAAAGGCGGGTTTACTTAAAGTGGCTTGTTGGAATAGGATGACATTAAAATCTGTAGCAAACAAGAAAAAATTTAGAATTTTTTTTATGTATTAAACCAGTTATGAAATTAAAACAAGACATAAAATCGGGGAAGAATCAGCAGCGAAGAATACAAGTGAAGCCGCAAAACATTTGTGTACTGGTAAGACGCATCTGCATAGACCGTCGGGTTAACATGTTTCAGCAATGACTGCTTGCACAACAATTATTGAACACAATTGTAAAATTAACCATGGTTACACCCAGTAAATGTAGTTCTAAGAATGGTTAGAGTATCTCCTCAAAAAAAAAAAAAAAAAAAAAAAAAATCCAAGATATATTATACATTGTTGTTGTCTATCATTGTATAAATGCTGTTCTCTACTGTAGAAACTGAAGTTTTGTAAAACGCATTGGCTTGATTTAGTTCTCCCAGAGTGAGTTTTTTTTCCAGGTCACAAAACGGTTGTATTTAGTATAGTGAAAAGTGTGTTTTATAGCGGGAAATTGCATCGGTAACACTGGAGATCTGTAGTGATCAGGACAGCTTAATTGTTTGCTGCATCAGCCTGCCGAGACCAGCCTTCTTCTTCCACTCCAGAGTCGTACTCTTCCTCTGACACCTCTTTATTTTGTGCTCTGGTACAAAAGAAAAAAAAAAAAAAAATGTATTAAAAACCCAAAACCAAGGACATTTCATTATTAACTGTGTAACAATTATATGAAGGATGACGCCCACTACATGGGCAGGCAGGACCTGCCATACTAGGAATGGTTGAGGCACTGTACACCCACTTAAGGCTGGTTCACACCAGATGCAGTCCAGTGCGGTTTTCTTCCCCTGTATTGGAATACATGGAAAAAAAAAACACCTTGCATGCATTTCTAATAGCCTTAGTTCTCACCAGTGCTGTCGGTTCCAGTTTCTGGTGCAGAAACAAAAAAAAAAAAAAAAAAAAAAAAAAGAAGGAAAACAAAAAACAAAAAAAACTGACATTTTTGAGTCCATATATACCTTGCAATGTCAAAAGATACAAAACAAATTGTTTATATGGATACAAGTACACGTGGCAAGATTTCACTTTACTTTAGGTAGAAAATACAATTTGTTTTGCATGTTTTTTCATATTATGAGTACCTTGTATCCTCCAGAGAACAGTACTTGCTGCCTATTGCACTTGTATCCTCCTGAGAACAGTAGTGTAAATATATAATTTGTTTTGCACGTTTGCATATGTCAATGAAAGTGGCGTGTACTTAATGTCACAGCAAGATTGCTCTTTACTTTAGGTAGAAAATGTTATTTGAAGGATTCATACTATACATACAAAAAAAAAAAACATTTGCTCTGCACTTTTGGCATTGCAAGCTATAGACCAGTGGTGGGCAACCTTTTTTTTCAACTGAGCCAAATCTCGCCAAAACCATGATTGAAATTTATTTTGAGAGCCACATTTTTAAAACTGAAAATACATCTCCCATATAGTAATTCATCCCCCATAGTAATTCATCCCCATATAGTAATTCATCCCCCATAGTGTAATTCATCCCCCATAGTGTAATTCATCCCCCATAGTAATTCATCCCCCATAGTAATTCATCCCCCATATAGTAATTCATCCCCCATATAGTAATTCATCCTCCATATAGTAATTCATCCCCCATAGTAATTCATCCCCCATATAGTAATTCATCCCCCATAGCAATTCATCCCCCGTATAGTATTTCATCCCTCGTATAGTATTTCATCCCCCCCGTATAGTATTTCATCCCCCGTATAGTATTTCATCCCCCGTATAGTATTTCATCCCCCATATAGTATTTCATCCCCCATATAGTATTTCATCCCTCATATAGTATTTCATCCCCCATATAGTAATTCATCCCTCATATAGTATTTCATGCCCTCATATAGTATTTCATCCCCCCATATAGTATTTCATCCCTCATATAGTATTTCATCCCCCCATATAGTATTTCATCCCTCATATAGTATTTCATCCCTCATATAGTAATTCATCCCTCATATAGTATTTCATCCCCCCATATAGTAATTCATCCCTCATATAGTATTTCATCCCCCCATATAGTATTTCATCCCTCATATAGTAATTCATCCCTCATATAGTATTTCATCCCCCCATATAGTATTTCATCCCCCCATATAGTATTTCATCCCCCCATATAGTATTTCATCCCTCATATAGTAATTCATCCCTCATATAGTATTTCATCCCTCATATAGTATTTCATCCCTCATATAGTATTTCATCCCCCATATAGTATTTCATCCCCCCATATAGTATTTCATCCCCTCATATAGTATTTCATCCCTCATATAGTATTTCATCCCCCCATATAGTATTTCATCCCTCATACAGTAATTCATCCCTCATATAGTAATTCATCCCCCATATAGTATTTCATCCCTCATATAGTATTTCATCCCTCATATAGTAATTCATCCCCCCATATAGTATTTCATCCCCCCATATAGTATTTCATCCCCCCATATAGTATTTCATCCCCCCATATAGTATTTCATCCCTCATATAGTAATTCATCCCTGATATAGTAAATTCATCCCCCATATAGTATTTCATCCCCCCATATAGTATTTCATCCCTCATAAAGTAATTCATCCCTCATATAGTATTTTCATCCCCCACAGTACTATTCCCCCCCCCCCCCTTCTAGTAAGCCAAGTCCCCCGTGTCAATTCACTTACCTTTTGCGTTCCTCTCGCTGTCTTCCCGCGCCGTTCGGGTCTTCAGGGCGGACTGTGAGAGGAGCCTAGCTCCCCTCCCCTCACGTTCGGCACGCTGCCCCGCCTACACACATCCTGACAACATCCGCAAGCCGGATTAAAAAGGTCCGCGCGGACTTTTGGGGCTGCCAACCGAGAGGAGGCAGGGGAGCGGCCGACCGAGAGGAGGGAGGGGAGCAGGCGCCCGGCACACAGAAGAGCCGCATTAGACTGGGTAAAGAGCCGCATGTGGCTCGCGAGCCGCGGCTTGCCGACCACTGCTATAGACAGACTCCGAAAGTCACACAGACACTCATCATTGGGTTTTAAAGGAAATATTTATTCACAGTACAGTAATACCTCATTTATAAATGCCTTTATGAACGTAATTTTCAGTTTACGAATGAAAATAATGTCTCGTTTACAAATTTGTTTCGCAATACAAAGTGTATGTCGGTGCTGATTTTTAAATGCAATTGCCAGCTTTTTTTTTTTTTCTTCACTATAGCTTGCAGAATTAGCTGTCACTTTCCTAAGAGTTAAGGGAAACTTTTTTTATTTTAAGAAACTAAAAGGAAACATTGTTTCACTTAACTCCTGGAAATAAACTAAAATAAAACTTATTAGCTGGGGGGAGTAGCAGCTGAATTTCTGAGCTATAGTGAAGAGGAAAAAAAAAAAAAAAAAGCGGCAATTACATTTAAGAACCGGCCTATATTCTAAGGCAGGGGCGGGCAACTGTGGCCCTCCAGCTGTTGGTGAGCTACAAGTCCCAATTATTGTTTTTACAGCCTTTATGGGTATAAAAACAAATCCGTGTAAGAAAAAAAAAAAATCACCCCCCCCACAAGTAGTACAGTGACACTATGGTGACACTGTACTTCTAGGGTGACCGTACGTAAAAAAAAAAAAACCCATAAATATAAATGAAATTGTAAAAAAAGTTTGAAAAAAATAAAATTTTTGGTTATAAACCAATTAGGGTTATTTTTTTTTTAATAAAAAGATAACTGAATAAATTTGTCAAGATTTATTTGTAATATTTAGAAGAAAAACACTTTTCAATATTTTTGGACTTTCATTTATATAGCAAAAAAATAAATAAAAAAACTATTTTGGTTGGATTTATTCACCACCGGGATTTTTATCAGTCTTAAAAATTTGTCAAATTTATATGAGTACAGTGTTGCACGACAGCGTAATTGTCAAAGTGCGACAGCACTGAAAACTGAAAATTGGCCTGGACAGGAAGGGGGTGAAGGTGTCCAGACTTGAAGGGGTTAAGATATATGCTAAACTATTAGCAGGGCGCTTGTTTAACATCCTTCCTGATTTGATCAAACCAGACCAAACTGGCTTCACCAAAGGCAGGCAGGCTTCTGATGCTACTAGGCGCTTGATTAATCTTCTACACCATGCTGAGACCCATCGAACGCCTTCCCTGCTCCTCTCCTTGGATGCGGAGGCGTCCGATCAGATCCATTGGGGACATATGAAAAGTGTCCTGTCCAAATTTGGATTCTAAGGACCCATTGTATTAGCCATCCTGGCTCTGTACTCATGCCCATCCGTGCAGGTATACACCTCTAATCATCTCTCTAGACCAGGGGTGGGCAACTGTGGCACTCCAGCTGTTGATGAACTACAAGTCCCATCATGCCTCTGCCTTTGGGAGCCATGCTTGTAACGGTCAGTTTTGCAATGCCTCATGGGACTTAGTTCTACAACAGCTGGAGGGCCACAGTTGCCCACCCCTGTTCAAAGGTAATCCCATTTCTTCTAAAGAGCCATTAACAAGAATCCTGATGCTTTTTGAAAAGATCTGGGTAATTAAATTAAAAGTGTTAGCTTCACAGGTTTTTCTGCGCACAAAATTTAAAATGGAGTAAAGAATGTCTAGATTTACAACAGTTAATGTGGGAAAGATACCAGAGACTTCCACTGAACTGGTCCAAAATCAGTGAAGCTACACATAACAGAAGCCTGTACGGGTCATTGCAGAGTAAGGCCAAGTTAACCGTTCTGAACCTGTTACACAGATATGGAGGGTGTAAAAATATTCAGCAAGCACCCCCTCTCCCCCGCCCGCTTTCCTGTGACAGTGGGCAGGAGATAGTCTCCCCCTGCCCCTCTGGTCACATTTGAAAACAATGTGGCCAAGTTGGGCTCTGTCCGCACGGTCATGTCATTCAGTGAGTTTCCTGTAGATGAATAAACTACGAGTACCATCAGCCATTGCTCTGGTGAGTACTCTCAGTTCATTGATCTTGCTGCTCTCAGGTAGCTGCCTGCCTGTATTGGAAGTATGGGCAGACCGCTATCCTGGAGTCTGCAGGAGCTGAGATTGCAGCTACGATCTGCTGCTCACAGGTACAATGCTCTGCAGAAAATAAATGCACTTTTTTTGCAGGTAAAAGTGCATTAATAATTTTTTCAAAAAGGTGAACTTATCCTTTAAGCAAGTTTGAAAGCACCCGATCTCTATGCAGTAGCAGGAGTCACCCGGTACTTTACTCATCCACACACAGAGGCAGCGGTTATACAGACTTACCTAATATAACTAGGCTCTTTCTTTCCGTCCACTACATCCTGATCAACCTCCACACATACTATGTCAGAGTTTGGAACCTCAAACATCGGCTCAAGAAGCAGCTTTTCCTAAAATGGTAAATGAAATACAATTGAAAATACAAACGAATGAAACATCAAAAAATACAAAAGTACTTATGGCATCATAAGCAAACCCTAAAAGTAAAAATTGTTGAAATGCATGGTACTAATGCCCTAGTCTTTTCGCCAAACTTCTGCCCCTCCCCTTTCCTTTTTATACACCACATTCTCGTACGTGGCAATGAATGTCAGCTCACTGATTTTAAATCTCTTATCAAAGTAACCTAAAAAGACAAACATTTTACTGAAATATATCTTTGCAAAAAGGAAAGGAAATTACTTTTTTATATAGCAAGTAGGGATGCACTGATACCGGTATCAGTGCAAACAGTAATTTTCACAAGTACTCATGAAAATGCTCCCGATAGAGGAAACCGATAATTTACGGTGTGATTTGCGTCGATACAAATTGCACTGCAAAGATTAGCATGAGATTTGAATAAGAATGCAATTCCTGTCCAAATCCTATGCGGTTTCCCCACTGCTCCTGTATGGATCCTGGCTTGTCATAGCCCAAGTCCACACAGGAGAGGTGCGGGAAAACCTTCCTGCAGTGGAGAGTGGGCGCGTGGGGATGTATACTATGGAGATGCATGCTCCATATTCTCAGCGGTAGGAGAGGAGAGAAAGGACCGGGGATTTAAAATCCCAGCCACTTTCTCTCCTCTCAGGTATGACCGATCATGATGGTGCTGACCAATCGAAGCCCTCTAACCAGAACGATGCTGACCAATCAGATGCAGTCTAGCCCGTATGGTCATCCCTGCAAGGAGAAAAAAAAAAAAAAAAAAAAAAAGCAGCGGGGGATTTCAAATCCTCAGACCTGTGAACAGGCTCTCTCTCATCTCCGTGCAGGGCCAACAGTGCAGGGCCAACAGTGCAGGGCCAACAGTGCAGGGCCAACAGTGCAGGGCCAACAGTGCAGGGCCAACAGTGCAGGGCCAACAGTGCAGGGCCAACAGATGCAGGCCAGATGGCATCTGATCAGCACCGTCCATGTGAAGGTGCTGACCAATGAAAAGCCCTCTATCCCGAAAGGTCATCCCTGCAAGGAGAGGAAAGAAAGCGGCAGGAATGTCAAATCCCCACTGCATGCTCTCCTCTTACCAATGAGAATATGGAGCATCTACCACCATAGTATACATCTTCACTCACCCACTTTCTACTGCGGGAAACCTCCCTGCACCATTTCTGTGTGAACTCAGGATATGATAGCCTGGGGTTCGAACAGGAGCAGTGGTGAAAACGCACGGGATTTGGACAGGAATCGCATGCTATGCTTTGCAGTGCACTGTGTGTCCATACGTTTTGTATTGACGCAAATCACACAGCAAAGTATCGGTAATCAGTATTGGCGAGTACTTAACCGAATGTATCAGTACTCATCCTCGCTGAGATAGAGATATAGCTATTAAAAAAAAAAAAAAAAAAAAAAAAAAAAAAAAAAAAAAAAAACCACGCATCCTTAATAGCAAGTAATTCAAAAGCTGACAGACCCTTTCTTATTTAGTATACAGTCAACCTTTCAGAATAAACTGCTACTAGAAAATAGCTAGGTTGTGTCAGCCATCCTCCCTTTCTGGTTATAAAGAAAAAACATTTTACAGTAAGGCGGCACCAATTGTAACAAAGAACAAAAACAAAAAGCACACCAACGCTGCGCATTACCTCGGAGTAAAAAGTAAAAAATTTATAAATTAAGATGTATACTCACAAAAGTAGCATATAAAAAACCAATATCAGCAAACGTGTACAGGTCCCAACTAGAGGAGAGATTCTTAGGATGAAGCTTGACGCGTTTCAAAGGGTGATCCCTTCTTCCTCAGAGCTCTTGTAATGCTACTTTTCTGAGTGTACATCTTAACTTAATAAATTTACCCTTTACTCGCTGAGGTAATGCTCAAGGTTGGTGCTCTTTTGTTTTTGTTCTTTGTTACAGCTGCTATTGGGCTTTCCCAGCCTTGAGTTAGAGCTGCGCAACCTTTGATCTGCCACTGGATGAACTTTCATATATGGTTCAACCCGCTGATTTCTGATCTGGGTCTCAGAGCGCAGGAGGTTATGTTTTGGTTTCCACTGGCACCAAATGTGTTTGTAGAAGAATCTAGCTCACCATGATTGACCGGAGTCCTCTAGCACCAGTTTTTCGCTCCAAAGCCAGTCTAGCGATCGCTCTTAAAGCGCCTTCCGTAACGTTCAACTCGCACTGCAAAATGGACACAAGTTTTACATTTAAACACAATAAAAGTTTCTCAAATTTACATTGAAGTATTTTCTGTAGTTTCTGAAATATTTAGTCAAAACATCAGCCCCAGCATTAGTACAATTAAAAAATGCCCAGCATTAGCACTGACACAATGTATTCCTTCAAAACAGCAAACAACCCCCGGCATACAAGACAAACTACTCTCTCCGTGCAATGGTAGGTTGGCAGTTTGTTGAATATCATGTACTTCATTCTTCTTTTCATTGCCTTCACAAGTGAGCCCTAATGTGGCTTTGCAGAAGGGGAGGCTGCCTTAACAGGCAGAGAATTGCCAGAGATTCTGGCTTACATACAGTTTGTCCACAAAGTTGGAAAAAGCCCCACTGTATATGTAATCAGCTGGTAGAAGCTAGTTCTCACTGGCACACTGCAGGATCACTGTGCACTAGCAGTCCTTGTGGACCCCTGGTCTACAACACATATGTCAGTCACATTGCCTGGGTGCTCCATTTACCTGGGTTCACACATGCGTGCCAAAATCACAATGCAATTTAGGCATGAGTTTCTTTTTGAATACCATTCCGGTTTTTGTGCGATTTCAGCACAGGTGCTATTTTGCCGACTCTTCCCCTCTCTCTCTACACATCTGCATCCCGACAGCAAAGCAAAATCGTCTTTTACCGACAAATGCAAAATCGCCTGTCAATCGCAATCCTATGTGAACACTTCTCTGCATGCCACTATACTCTATTACAGTGGTTTCCAAACTGTGGCCCTTTGCTAGAATTTATCTGGCCCTTGGGGCACTAATATTCACCGATTCGGGGCACTAGTCCTCCCACTGACACCACCAATGACGGGGCACTAGTCCTCCCACTGACACCAATGACGGGGCACTAGTCCTCCCACTGACACCAATGACGGGGCACTAGTCCTCCCACTGACACCAATGACGGGGCACCATTCCTCCCACTGATACCAATGATGGGGCACTATTCCTCCCACTGACACCAATGACGGGGCACTATTGCTCCCACTGACACCAATGACGGGGCACTATTCCTCCTGGTAATGCCAATGACAGGAAACCATTCCTCCTCCTACAGACCACAGGCACTATGCAGCTGAATACCACACCTGATGCATGGTTTACTATCATTCATGCCAGGACACAATCAAACCCTGCAAAACCCTGCAGGATAGTAAACTGGCCCTTTGTTGGGAAAGTTTGTAGACCCCTGTTCTATTATATGCGAGTCTGGAATGCACCACTACAAACTCGCACAGGAGCCTTTTTGTAATGGCACTCAAAATGCAATGCCTGCGGAACGCATCTGTGTGAACCACCTCGATAAGAACACAAAATCTAGCTGGGCATATGCATCTGTGCATTTAAAAATGCATTCAGAATCGCATGTGTGAACACCAGACCTACTGTTTTCCTGGCCCATGTCTGGATAACTGCGTGGGACAGGAGCAGAGACAGTAAATGTTACTATAGTAAGAGTAGCAGGACAGCAGTGGTGGCTACGGCTAGTCTGTTACTGCTGTCAAGCTACTCATTCATTCAGCAAGCTGGGGGGGAGACAAGACAAACAAAAAAAAAAAAAAATTAAAAAATGGAGACGAGGCTAGTAATGGATTAGCAGGCCATAGTTTTGAGGATGCTTAGCTTTTGGCAATGATCAGCAGCAAGTACAGAGTCTTTGTTATTAGCCATAGAGCACTATTCTGCGACACTTGGTCAGTGCTGCATGTCCTCTCTTGGTAGCGAACTGCACTCAGTTTCTAAAGACAACACACAAAAAAATGCAGTTGCTATAGAGCGCTGACAGCTGTCCCTATAGGTCCCGCAATAAAAGCAAACCTTATCCATGCTGAACAGAGCCTGGTATTGTGGAACAACAGCATTTCTGGGTTCTGTGAGAATGCGCACAAGGGTCTCCTCGTCAAGACTCTGAAGTGGCACCACTACCGGAAGACGTCCCACAAACTCAGGAATCATGCCAAACTCTATAAGGTCCCTGGCCTCTACATGTCGTAATAACCGGTCTTTCTCCTCGATGTCCTGCACGGCATTAGATTCTGCGCTGGCATTTGCTAGGTCAGCTGCTGCTGCCGCTCGCCGTCCTTTGCCCAAGTTGGAGGTTATGCCAAACCCCAGATACTGAAATGAGAAGAAACAAGGAAGTTAGATCTGGGTGTACACGCCAAGAATTGAGAATTGGGGATGCACACAGGTGTTTTGTTTTTTTTTTTTTTTATCCTCATGCATTGAAAATCCCTTAGCAACACTTTAAGGTGGACATACATAGATTGCAGGCTATCTCCTCTTCAGTCTATCATGAACGCTGCTGCCAGACTCATCCACCTTACTAACCGTTCTGTATCTGCCATCCCTCTCTGCCAATCCCTCTACTGCCCTCCATTCAGTGTCCTCCATCCCCTCTCTGCCAATCCCTCCACTGGCCTCCATTCAATGTCCTCCACCCCTCTCTGCCAATCCCTCCACTGGCCTCCATTCAATGTCCTCCACCCCTCTCCGCCAATCCCTCCACTGGTCTCCATTCAGTGTCCTCCACCCCTCTCTGCCAATCCCTCCACTGGCCTCCACTCAGTGTCCTCCACCCCTCTCCGCCAATCCCTCCACTGGCTTCCCATTGCCCAACGGATAAAATTCAAAACACTAACAATAACAAAGCCATTTATAACTCTGCCCCAAATTACATCGCCAATCTTGTCTCCAAACATCACCCAAACCGTCCTCTCCGCTCCACACAAGACCTCCTACTCTCTAGCTCCCTTGTCTCCTCCTCCCTTGCTCATCTCCAGAGCTTCCCCCATCCTCTGAAACTCTCTACCCCAATTTATCAGACTATCGGCTGCTCTGCTCACTTTTAGACGATCTCTGAAAACCTATCTCTTCAGGGAAGCCTATCCTGCCCTCAGCTAATAATGGAATCTTCTACTCTTCCAACCAGTCCATCCCCCACAGTTACTACCTTTTGTCCACTAGCCCCTAGATTGTAAGCTCCAAGGATCAGGGCCCTCCGTACCCTCCTGTATTAAACTGTATTGTTGCTCTATTGTCTCCCGTTATATTGTAAAGCGCTGAGCAACCTGTTGGCGCTATATAATTCCTGAATATTATTATTATTATTATTATTATTATTATTATTATTAATAGAAATTCAGCTGGTTCAGCAGAGAATGGCTGATTTTTGATCCTTGTATGGGGGGGGAAATTTTGGTTGTACAGAAGTAAATTTTCCCAATCAAAGAATCCCGATTGATGAAATTATTATTATTATTATTATACAGTATTTATAAAGCGCCAATAGTTCGCTCAGCGCTGTACATTACAAAGGGGGACAGAACATGTGACAGAACAATTCCCATACAATGCAAAACATGAGGGGATCGAGGGCCCTGCTCTTTCAAGCTTACAATCTAGGAGGGAGGGGATGGTGGCACAGGAGGAGATAGCTGTGGGGGATGGAGTGGTAGGAAGAGTGGAGGAGGTCGGCAAGTTAGCAGGGGGTGGGGTAGGCTTCCCTGAAGAGATGGGTTTTCAGGGTGCGCCTAAAGGAGAGGAGAGTAGGTGATAATCTGATGGGTTGGGGAAGGGAGTTCCAGAGGATGGGTGACACCCTGGAGAAGTCCTGGAGGCGGGCATGGGAGGAGGAGACCAGGGAACTAGAGAGAAGGAGGTCTTGTGAGGAGCGGAGTGTGCGTGCTGGGTGGTACTTGGATATTAGGTCAGTGATGTAGTTCGGGGCAGTATGGTGGACAGCTTTGTACGTCAGTGTTAGGATTTTGAATTTGACCGTTGCGCAATCGGAAGCCAGTGGAGGGATTGGCAGAAGGGGGTGGCGGAGATGGAGCGGTTGGAAAGGTGAATGAGTCTGGCAGCCGTATTCAGGATGGACTGAAGCGGGGATAGCCAGCGGCGAGGCAGGCCAGTGAGGAGGGAGTTGCAGTAGTCGAGTCGTGATATGATGAGGGAGTGGATGAGCTGTTTAGTGGTTTCTGGAGTTAGGAACGTGCGGATTTTGGCGATGTTGCGGAGGTGGAGTCTGCATGAGTTTGTTAAAGAGTGGACTTGGGGCTGGAAGGATAGGTTGGAGTCCAAAATGACACCAAGTACTCTGGCCTGCGGGGCGGGTTTGATCGTTGTTGGACATGATGGAGAAGTCAATGGGGGGTGGTGTCCGGGCTGGAGGGAAGACAAGAAACTCGGTTTTGGAGAGGTTCAGTTTAAGGAAGTGGAGCGACATCCAGTCTGATATGTCGCTCAACAGGTGTGTGATTCGGGCGGAGACCTAGGGGGTGAGGTGGGGGGTTGAGAGATAGATTTGTGTGTCGTCGGCATAGAGGTGGTAGTTGAAGCCGTGAGAGTGTATGAGTTGGCCAAGGGAGGAGGTGTAGATGGAGAAGAGAAGGGGCCCGAGGACAGAGCCTTGAGGGACCCCAACAGAGAGGGGAGTGAGAGGGAGGTGGTGGCATTATAGGTAACGCTGAAAGAGCTTGTGACAGGTAGGATTGCCAGGAGAGAGCAGAATCTCTGAGGCCGAGGGAGTGTAGTTTTTTGAGGAGGAGGGGGTGGTCGACTGTGTCAAAGGCCGCAGCAGAGAGGAAGAAGGAGCACTGAATTGTGGCCATTAGCTTTGGCGGTTAACAGGTCGTTGGAGAGTTTGAGTAAGGCAGTTTCGGTGGAGTGTAGGGGACGGAAGCCGGACTGTAGGGGATCGAGGAGGTTGTTGTCGTTGAGGTGAGAGCATAGGCGGGCGTTAGACTAGGCGCTCGAGGGAGTTTAGATGTAAATGGGAGAGGGAGATGGTCTGAGGTTGTTCGGGTCTTGGGGTCCAGGGAGGGCTTTTTAAGTATGGGGGTGATGTGTGCATGTTTCAGAGGGGAAGGGAAAGTGCCGGAGGAGAGGGAGAGATTGAAGATGTGGGTGGAGGGAGCGTAGATGGAGGGGGAGGGAGGTTGTAGGAGTTGTGAGGGGATAGGGGGGGGCAAATTCTTGGTTCTTCGATGGTACAGAAGTAAATTTTCCAATCAAGGGGTGAATCCTGAGTGAGGGGGAAGGGGGTTGGATGAGCATCGGTCCTGTGGGTTTACTGTAGCTGTGTGAGAGGGGACGGGCCTACTGTCATAATAAAACAGCTCAGCAGCAGCAATTCCCACATCAGACAGTATGGATGGGGAGATCACTGGTAAAAAAAAAAAAAAAAAAAAAAAAAAGACGGGGGGTTGGGGGAGGAAGCCATGTATGGACTGCCTTAGTAGAATGTTTTTGTATAGGACACTGAGAAATAAGCAGGGTGCAGTTTTCCTTACACTCTTATACAGATCTGAACTGTCCAATTTGCAAAGAACTTCAAAAAGTTAAACTGAAAAATAACTCCAACATGTGTTTGAGGAATAACAAAAAACACCTGACTCAGGCAATTCTAATTTAACTTGTGGGAAACAGATATCTGTCTTTCCTCATTACTAGATCTCATGTGAATAGAGAACTCCAATCACGTCAGTGACTCCAGAGGATGACACTAGTCAGCATCTCGGACATGAAAATGCTGACAGCAGGGCTATGGGCAGCATAAAAACACTATGGAAGGGGACTGACCTCAGCTGAGGTCAGTCCCCTTCCAAAGAAGCCATGCCAATTCATGTTTGCCTGCTACGGAGGTTTGAGAGACCCAACATCAATAGCAACTGACTGAAAACTGTCTGCATCATAAAAACACAATTTTTGTCTTACACTACTTAAAACTACAGGCTGATTCGATGGATTTAAAGTATCCAAGATTAATCTTAACTAGTCACTACAAGCTGCCAGTATCAGATTCCTGGACCTGGTGAGAACTTAAAATCAAGCATGAACAATCCAGGTGCACACTGTCCCAGAACTAGTGCCAATGCTCAGTACGCAAACACACACCCCACACATTCACATACATACCACATTGTCAAAAGTATTGGGCCACCCTTCCAAATCATGTGATTCAGGTGTTCCAATCCCCTCCATGGACACAGGTGTATACAATCACCACCTAGACATGCAGGCTGCTTCTACAAACATTGGTGAAATAATGGGTCGCTCTCAGGAGCTCAGTGACTCCAAGCGTGGTCCCGTGATAGGTGGTCACCTGTGCAATAAGTCCATCCGTGACATTTCCTGGCTACTAAATATTCCACGCTCAACTGTTAGTGGGATTATAACAAAGTGGAAGCAACTGGGAACAACAGCAACTCAGCCAAGTGGTAGGCCACGTCACATGACAGAGCGGGGTCAGAGCATGCTGAAGTGCACAAAAGTCGCCGACTGTCTGCAGAGTCAATAGCTAAAGACCTCCAAACTTGGTGTGACCTTCAGATGAGCACAATAGCAGTGCGTAGAGAGCTTCATGGAATGGGTTTCCATGGCTGAGCAGCTGCATCCCAGCCTTCCACCACCAAGTGCAATGCAAAGCGTCGGATGCCGTGGTGTAAAGCACGCCACCACTGGACTCTAGAGCAGTGTGGAGACGTGTTCTCTGGAGTGACCAATCACACTTCTCTGTCTGGCAATCCGATGGACATGTCTGGGTTTGGAGGTTGCCAGGAGAACGGTACTTGCCTGACTGCATTGAGCCAAGTGTAAAATTTGGTGGAGGGGGGATTATGGTGTGGGGCTGTTTTTCAGGGTTTGGGCTTGGCCCCCTAGTTCCAGTGAAGGGAACTCTTAAGGCATCAGCATACCAAGACATTTAGGACAAATTTAAATTCTCCCAACTTTGTGGGAAGACTTTGGGGATGGCCCCTTCCTGTTCCTACATGACTTGACAGGGAGGGAGGCACCAGGATCACCAGCAGAGGGAGGAGGATTGGAGCTGCTCTGTGCAAAACCATTTCACAGAGCAGGTCAAGTAGAACATGTTTGCGATTTTAATCCCCCCTTGCCCTCCTAAGGATTTCCCCCCCTTCATGACCAGGCCATTTTTTGCGTTATGGCACTGGTATTTTAACTGACAAAATGAAATTAATGGGGTTTTTTTTCCCCACAAATCGAGCTTTTTTGGTGGTAGAGTCTGTTTTTTCATGCTTTGCGCAAAAAATAAAACGCACAGACAATTTTGGAAAAAAAAAAAAACATTTTTGGACTTTTAGCTATTAAACATGTGCAGTAAAAAAAATTTAAATCCAAATTGTCAAATTTAGGCCAAAATGTATTTGGCCTAAAAAAAACCAAAAACCAAAAAAAATCCCAATACGTGTAAATTAATTTGTTTATGTGAAAGTTATAGCATTTACAAATGGCGATATAGAGAATAGGAAAAAAAAAATCCCACTAATAATCGTGGCGATCACTGAGCTCCACAGTGACAGCAATACAGCGATCAGTGCCAAAATAAAAAAATATGCACTGACACTGGACAGAAAGGGTTTAAAGTGAGGGGTGATCAAAAGGTTAACTGTGTGCGTTTTACTAGGGGGCATGGCGCGTGGTCCTCCGTCAGTTCAAGCACACTTAGCAGGATGGCTGTACTGTGCACAGCCATCCCGAGCAGTGTGCTTGAACTGACAGGGAGGAAAATTGTAAACAAAAACAAGCTTCCTCCCCATCGGGAGATGCTTGGTAATCACCAGCCGGGACCCGGTGATTGACAACTACAACTACTGGTGTGCGCCCCCTACCTGAAAATACGACATTACGTATGTATACACGTGATTCTGCACACAGATGCTGCCCTGTAGCCATATATCTGCTATAGGGCAGTCCTTAAGTGGTTAAAGAAAAAAAAAAAAAAAAAAGTCATGTTTAGAATCACCTTAAGCCCAGGTTCACATATATGCGGTGCGGTACATCGCATGTGATCCGCACAGGAACCGCACACCTATGCAAATCACATTCGATCTGTGTGCGGTGTGATTGGAGCCACACATTTTGTATGGCTCTAATCGCACCCGAAAGATGCAGGACCTTTTTTTGGTCCGCACTAAAATTGGATTGCATGGGTATTCAAACCTATACGATCCGATTCTGCACATCGCGTTTTGCAGACTGATTTTGGGGTGTTGGTAACACACCTGCAGTGGTTTGCATGAATGGGGTGAGATTCTGATGTGGTGCAGAATTCGCACAGAAAAAAAAAAAACACTGCTAATCTGGACTGCATCAGTGTGAACCCGGGCTATAGGCACAAAAAGGTGTGAATGGACCCTCAGGAGTTCCAAAGTTTGAGTTACTGCACTCTATATTCTGCACTAGGGTCAATTCATGTGTGTGCACTCAACATGCATGAGCTTGTAATGTATTGCCAAGCATGCCATGTGCTTTTTAGATGGCATTGTGTATTCCTTTGTCTCCAACAAGTTATTGGAAATCACCCAAGTCACCTTTTCCTGTTTTTACATGTGGTTTCCTGCGTACAAAATATGCAATACCTATTTAGAGCGACTGCATTAATTCCTTTAAAAGCAGTGACCTGTAGATGCATTAATTCCTTTAAAAGCAGTGACCTGTAGATGAAATACACCAAAATGCAAGGAGGAGGATTTTCGAAGACACTGCAATTCTAACATGGTGACAAAAAAACCACAAGAGCTGACTTAGGGATATTGGACCTGCAAACTCCCTGTGATAAGAGTACGGTTTGCTGCAGATCCACTGTGAGGAGACCAAGTTCTTCACACTTCTGCAGTAAACCTCAAACGTCAGCTTATATACGTATGCACGACTACCATGTCTGCCTACATATAGGTCTATAAAAAGATACTGTAGTACAAGGTTAAAAATAGCCACCCAGGTACATAATCCATGTACAAAACTATCAGAGCAGGGGAAAAAAAAAAAAAAAAACGCAACAAAAAAACAAATACATTAGGTCTGGTAAATTAAATTAAAATACTGTTGAAAAAAGAAAAAAAAAAAAAATACCTGGATTGTGACGATCGCAGCGTCAGACCCCAGCCCTTCTCACCGAACTCGTGACCGAAGGCCTAGCCAATCTAAAAATGCGATGTCACGTGCGCAACAATGCCACTCCCAGCAGCTTGCTACATGGATTATTTCCTAAATGTATTCAATATAACTGGACCCTAATATTTATAGGTAAACATAGTCCATAGAATATCCGATTGCCTGTTGGGGATCAGGAAGGGATATTTTTCCCTTGTTGGAGCAAATTGGATCATACTTTATTGGGAGTGTTTTGCCTTCCTCTGGATCAGCTGTGGGTATAGGATTTAATAAAAAAAAAAAAAAAAACTAGATGGACTTGTGTCTTTTTGCAACCAGACTATGGGAATATAAGCACACCCTCCCCCCCCCCCCCATTTTCGATCGAAAAAGTGAGGGTTATAACCACTGCTGTTAGATTTTTTTTTTTTTTGCCATCTGTGTCCCTTTGGGGACAATTCCCTTTACTTCCTGTTCCATAACTAAAACAGGATGTGAGAGGATATCCCTGCAAAGGGAACCCCTTGGGGCTCCAAGATCAACACAACTGATGTCCTCATTGGAAAATCTCCCCTAGATTACTTTTCTGGGGATGACCCAAAATTTGGGATTCTTTTACCTTCCCATTCAATGATGGTAAAAAGGAAAAATAAAGAGCGACTTTCCATAAAACGGGACCACAGAAAGCAAAAAAAAAAAAAAAAAAAAAAAACACCACACACACTATTTGGCCTTCTAATCCCCTCTTCATCATGTCCAAAACCAAAAAGTTTTTTAGTTATTCTTTAGTATAAAAAGGGGGGAAAAAAACAAAAAAAAACCCAAACAAAAAACAACAAAAACACAACACTTAGTGGAAAAGCTAAGACAACAGCAAGCCACAGTTCTGCCCCAACATAATCGTATAAACATTTTGGGTTATAACCGAACCTTCTCATTTTTCCTTCTGCTGATTATCCTGTCCAGGCCATTAAAGGCTCCAGAAGCTACAAAGAGAATGTTCGTTGTGTCCACTTGTACGGTTTCACCTCGCAGCTTCCTTGAATTTTTCTCTGGGACGTTAACGATCGTTCCCTCCAGCAGTTTCAGCAAGCCCTGTAAAGGAAAAAGGCAACATTTCAAATCACATATATACGGTTTTCTAAAAAAAGGCACTGGATTTGCTATAAGTAGAGGTGTTTATTCTTCCATGCGGTGCACTACACAGGAAATGATCACATGATGCCTTTTTAGGAGGGACAGGTCAGGTGGAGCTGCTGTGTGACATCACTGAGCGAGCTGGCAGGTCCTGTGGCGGCGCTCTGGACTGAGTATATTGCACCGTTCTGCTGTAATGAATGCACTTTTTTTGAATTAATCGGGATTTGTTAACGATTTGTGGACTGCCCACTGTCTTTACTGCGGCAGGGCATCACAGCTGCACTGGATCACGTACATTATACAATATTTATATAGCGCCAAAGGGTATGCTCAGCACTGTACAGTAGCAAGGGGGACAGAACATGAGACAAGACAGTAGCAATACACTACGCGAGGGGTTCGAGGGCCCTGCTCTTTCCAGCTTACAATCTAGGAGGGAGGGGGAGTGGTACAGGAGGAAGTGGCTGTGTTGGATGGAGTGGCGGGAGGAGTGGAGGAGGTTAGTTGTTGGGTGAGGTCAGGTGTTAGGTAAGGGTGGGGTAGGCTTCCCTGAAGAGGAGGGTTTTCAGGGTGCGCCTGAAGGCGAGAAGGGTAGGTGACAGTCTGATGGATTGGGGTAGGGGGTTCCAGAGGATGGGGGAAGTCCTGGAGAAGTCCTGCAATTGGGCGTGGGAGAAGAAGGAGACCAGGGAGCTAGAGAGCAGGAGGTCCTGTACATGTATGTGATCCAGCATTTCCAGGTGTGGGGGGTTGCGCATCCACCGCCCTGTGTGTGCGCACAGTCATTCACTACAGCACAAGTTGATTAGCAGGTCCTGGGTAATATTTATGACTGGGACCTGCTGATTGGCTTATTGAATGACAGTACAGAGCCTGGTATTTACCAACACCGGCCTCTGTACACAGAGCAGCCAAGTGGCTCTGTTTGCAGGGAGAAAAAAAAAAAAACACAGCCATATCTATTAGTAAAAGCAATACACATGGTTAGGCACACAGTTAACCCTTTGATTGCCCCAGATGTTAACCCCTTCCCAGCCAGTGTCCTTAGTACAATGACTGTTTATAGTATTACCAATGATCACTATTAGTGTCACAGTCAGTTCCCACCTCAGTGGGAATTAGTGTGGCACTGCCTGTCTAACACTATCACAATCCTACTATAAGTATTGAACATGTCATTTTTCTCAGTAAACATTTCTAAAGGTGCTATTCACATGAAATATTCACCACGTCAGTGACAACCCATACATCCAAGAAAAGAAAAACAAACAAGTTCAGAAATTAAGTTATACAGTTTCAAGAAAAAGTATGTGAACCCCTTGGGATTACGTGGAGTTTTGCATGAATTGGCCATAAAATGTGCTCTGAACGTCATCTAAGTCACAATAGAAGAACAGTCTGCTGAACATAATACTACACAAACATTAGATGTTGCCATGGTTTAATTGCACATAACATGTAAACATTCACAGTGCAGGGAGGAAAAAGTATGTGAACCTTTGGACTTAATAACTGGTTGACCCTCCTTTGGCATCAATAACCTCAACCAAACGTTTCCTGTAGTTGCAGATCAGACCTGCACAACGATCTGGAGTCATTTTGGACCACTCCTCTTCACAAAACTGTTTCAGTGTAGCAATATTCTTGGGATGTCTGGTGTGAATCGCTCTCTTAGGGTCATGCCACAGCATTTCAATCGGGTTGAGGTCAGGACTCTGACTGGGCCACTCCAGAAGGTGTATTCTGTGCTGTTGCAGCCATTGTTTTGTTGAATTACTTGTATGCTTTGGGTCATTGTCCTGTTGCATCACCCATCCTCTGCGGAGCTTCAGTTGGCGGACAGATGGTGGTACGTTTTCCTGCAAAATGTCTTGATAAACTCTGGAATTCATTTTCCCATCAATGACAACAATCCGTCCAGGCCCTGAGGCAGCAAAGCAACCCCAAACCATGATGCTCCCTCCGCCATGTTTCACAGTGGGGATGAGGTTTTGATGTTGGTGTGCTGTGCCTTTTTTTCTCCACACATAGTGCTGTGTGTTCTTCCCAAACAACTCAATCTTGGTTTCATCTGTCCACAGTATATTTTGCCAGTAGTGCTGTGGAACATCCAGGTGCTCTTTTGCAAACTTCAAACGTGCTGCAATATTCTTTTGGGACAGCAATGGCTTCCTCCGTGGTGTCCTCCCATGTACTCCATTCTTGTTTAATGTTTTCCTTATTGTAGATGTGTCAACAAAAATGTTAGCATGTGCCAGAGATTTCTGTAGGTCTTTAGCTGACACTCTGGGATTCTTCTTTACCTCATGCAGCATTCTGCGCTGTGCTCTTGCAGTCATTTTTACAGGACGACCACGCCTAGGGAGAGTAGCAACAGTGCTAAACTTTCTCCATTTGTAGACAGTGTCTTACCGTGAACACATGAACATCAAGGCTTTTGGAGATACTTTTGTAACCCTTTCCAGCTTAATGCAAGCCAAGAATTCTTGATTGTAGGTCTTCTGAGAGCTCTTTTCTGCGAGGCATGGTTCACATCAGACAGTGCTTCTTGAAACCAGTAAACCCAAAACAGGTGTGTGTGTTTTTTAAGGGCAGGACAGCTGTCAGCAACACATCCAATATCATCACACTGATTGGAGTCAAGGTTGGCTCACTCCTGGCTCCAATTAGCTCTGGGAGAAGTCATTAAGCTAGGGCCTCACATACTTTCCTCCCTGCACTGTGAATGTTTACATGTTATGTGCAATTAAACCATGGCAACATCTAATGTTTGTGTAGTATTATGTTCAGCAGACTGTGTTCTTCTATTGTGACTTAGATGACGTTCAGAGCACATTTTATGCCCAATTCATGCAAAACGCCACGTAATCCCAAGGGGTTTACATACTTTTTCTTGCAACTGTATGCAATAAAAATTAATGACACAGGAAACATGCCAACTGAAATCTGTTTAATACTTGGTACAAAATCCTTTGTTGGCAAGGACAGCGTCAAGACGCCTCCTGTACGGAGAAACTGGTCACATGCACTGCTCAGGTGCGATTTTGGCCCATTCTTTCACAGTTCATAGAAGAGGCCCACAGAACCTTCAAGATTTGAAGACTCAGATCTTTAGTTCTTTCCATAGGATTTTCTATAGGATTCAAGTAGGGTTATTGGCTAGGCCATGCTAGCAGCTTTATTTTCTTTGAAACCAATTGAGAATTTCTTTGACAGTGTTGGGGATCATCGTCTTGCTGAAATGTCCACCCTTGTTTCACCATCATTTTGGTAGATGGCAGAAGATTTCTATCAAGAATGTCTCTGCACATTTTTTCCATTCACCCTTCAAAAAAGAAATGAAGTTTGCCAGTACCGTATGCTGAAAAACAGCCCCACACCATAATGTTCCCACCTCCATGCTTCGCTGTTGGGATGGTGTTTTTGGGGTGGTGTGCAGTGCCATTTGGCCTCCAAACATGGCGCGTATTATGGCATCCAAAGAGTTCAATTTTGGTCTCATCTGACCAGACTATATTCTCCCAGTATTTCAAAGGCTTGTCTTATGTTGTGCAGCAAACTTTAACATTGCTAGATTGTAAGCTCTAAAGAGCCGGGCCCTCTGTTTCCTGTTGTACCAAATTGTATTGTAACTAATGTCTGCCTTCATTTTGTACAGCACGGCCCAAACTGTTGGCGCGATATAAATCCTGTATAACATCATGCTTTTTCTTCAGCAATGGAGTCTTGCGTGGTGAGCGGGTATACAGGCCAAGGTGGTTGACAGCAGGTTCAATGGTTTCAAAGCCAACCAGAAGTAATGCAGATTCCAGGTCTTTCTGAAGCACTCCACAAGTGGTCCTTGGCTCTTCAACAACCCTTCTGATAATTCTTTTCACTCTTCTGTCAGAAATCTTGCGAGGAGCACCTAGGTGGTGGCCGGTTTAAGATAAAAAAAAAAAAAATGTTCTTTCCACTTCCGGATTATGGCCCAAACAGTGCTCACTGGAACATTCAGAAATCCTTCTGTAACTAATGCCATCAGTATATTTTGCAACAATAAGACTGAGAAAGTCTTGAGAGCTCTTTGCCTTTACCCATTATGAGATTTTTTTTGTGTGACACCTTTGTAAGACGACACCTTTTATGGGCCATCAGTTGGGACTGACAAGCGGCAGGATTGCTTTCTAATTACTGAGATTTCAGCTGGTGGCTTGGCTTTCCATGCCTTTTTTGCCTGCCTTAAGGTGTTCAAAAATGTTTCCCTATGTCAAATTTTATTACATATAACGTCATTTCTTTTTGTTTTAGTTACTATGTATGGATTGCATGGGTTATTACCGACATGGTGAAAAATTTCATGTAAATAGCACCTTTAGAAATATGGCGAGAGGCATTAATTTTCACGCAAACCAAATATACACGTATTGGGTATGTTTTTTTTTTTTTTTAACCAAAGAAAAAAATGTAGCCGAATAAATTTTGGCCTAAATTTAAGAATTTTTTTTTCACTGGATATGTTTTATAGCAGAAATTTAAAAAATAAATAAAATGAAGAAAAAAAATTATGGAGCATGTGCAGTGTCTCTACATGATCTAGGTCTTATCAGGTGATAAGAGGGAGGACACTGGAAGAAGGGGAGGATCAGACAAGTCAGGATCAAAGCAGCATTTGTACACAATGCACAGGATTAACCCCTTAGGTTCCACAGAGAGTATAGCAAACATGCTTTACGGCATATACAGACTGATTTTACGGTTGTTGGTTTAGTAACACTTTATTCACTTGACTGATTATTACCAGCACCTTTTAGTGATGTATGAATCTGCTTTACACATTGATTGAATGAATTAAGGATTTTTTAAACTTTATTTCCGCTTTGTTTAAAGAGATATGCATACCCGTTATCCTACATAAATCTTAGCAAATGTCCAGAATTGAGACAGTGTAGGGTGCAGTAAGCTGAGTCTTCGCGGTGGCACACAAAGTGTGAGCTCAATTCATTGTTTTTATATAGAACACTATACTAACCACAGCTTACAAAGCCATCCACAACACTGCCCCTAGCTACATCACCAACCTCATCCACAGATCCCGCCCAAATCGCCCACTCCACCCCTCCCATGATATCCTCCTCTCTAGCTCCCTCATCACCTCCTCCCACGTTCACCTCCAGGACTTCTCCAGAGCCTCTCCCATCCTCTGGAACTCCCTACCACAGCATGTCCGGTCAGCCCCCACCCTGTCTGCCTTTAGGCGATCTTTGAAAACTCACTTCTTCAGGGAAGCCTACCCCACCTCCACCTAAGAACTGTACTTGAATCACCTCCACCAGATCATCCCCCGCAGCGATCACCTTTTGTATCACCTACCCCTTCCTTTAGATTGTAAGCTCCACGAGCCAGGCCCCCCTATTGCTTGTAATTGTACTGTCTCCTTTATATTGTAAAGCGCTGTGCAAACTGTTGATAGAAATCCTGAATAATAATAATAATAATACTTGGAGAGTCTTACCTGCTGTACGCCTTCTCCCCCCACATCTCTCAGCTGGTGAATGCCAGGAACACTACCAATTTTGTCAACTTCATCTAAAAAGACAATACCTGAAAAAAATTTGAAGAAATGAATCCAGAACATAATATAACCTGTAAAACATGATTAGTTTTGGTTATTTTACATCATATCAATATAAATTAAATATAAATTGGCCTTGCCAAGTCAGGAAAAAAAGCTCCAAAGAGTACAATACCAGTTCGTTCACCTTTAAAAAAAAAAAAAACCAAAACACAAAACAAAAAACTTTGTACACCTAGATAGGAGTGGCGGGGGTGACTGCATACAGGAGGAACATCTCTCCATTTTCTCCTCCTGCAGCCACTGAACACCCCACTTCCTACTTCAGCAGCTGCAGGAGGAACATAAAGATTGGTTCCTCTGTAAGCAGTTGTCCCGCCACTGCCCCTCTCCAGCTGCTTTCTGCTGCCCCCCCCCCCCATGCTCTTAGCCCAGGCGCGCATCACCCCCCCCCCCCCCCCCCCCCCATGGCTCTGCCAGCTTTCCCCTCTCCCTGCAGCAGCAAGGGATGCAGTCATGGAGAGCGGGGAAGGAGCCGGTAAATTTGTCATTTACCACAGCCCCTTTTTTCTTGAAAAAAATAGTCTGTGATACTTAAATCACTGACTCTGTTCATTCATAACAGAGGCATAGTAAACTGTGTATTCTATGCTTCAGTTTTTGAATGAATGGGAAGCTCTGTGTAGAGCTATCCTTGTCCATTCATTCTGTGCAGCTGAGGCTGCAGAGATGGAGATGGAGGGCTGTGTTCTTCAATCTCCTTTGGTCAAACATCAGGGGTCTAAACAGACCTCTGATGTTCCAACTTTGAGACAAAGCCCCCACAAAACAGGGTTCCCAAAAATAAAAAGCTACTGACACCAGTGGCAGAACTACCAGGATCACAAAAGTCGCACTGGCAACTGGGCCCCGCCACTTACTGCTTAACAGACACAAGGTTTCTCCTCACCTGAAGTTGTGACTGTCCACCAGAACCCACCCTCACCTATCAATACTGTGGGTGTCACAAGACCCTGAATTAATCTTATATTTAGGGAGAGCAAAAGCAAGATCGCCAACTCAAAGAAACTAAAATTTAGTGTATGAACTGATTTAGCAGTGAAAAAAAAAAAAATAAATTAAAAATAAAATTTAGCCTTTTTAGTTATTCGTCAATTTAATTTTTTTTGTTTTCGATAGAGGGGAGAGAGATTAGAACACCTAGTAGGTTTTTATTGCTGTCTGTGCCCCCATTAGGGAGATTCGCCCTATTTGCCATTATCGAAAGTGAAAAAAAAAAAAAAAAAAAAAATACCATACATTCTATTGTAAGGAGTGCTGAAAAAAAAAAAAAAAAAAACTGTAGCCCTGGGAAGTATTGTGTGTAATTAGTGTAATATATAAAAAGCACATAACCAATATTAGACCCCCCCCCCCCCATGACCTGGTTCCTAAAATATACACACTCTCGAATTTTTTTTGTTTTTTCCCCATTTCAAACAGACCTTGCTGAGCTTTCTCCACATTGTAATTGGCATCCTGCAATAGTTTGGCAACCACAGACTCAATGTCCTCTCCTACATATCCAGCTTGTGTCAGAGTGGTACAGTCACATATAGCAAATGGGACATCCAAGCACTTTGCTAGAGTTTGTGCAAGAAGAGTTTTACCTGTAATAAAGAGAAAGCATGAGGGTAAAAACAGAATTTGTGGGTAAAAAAAAAAAAAAAAAAAAAACCACACGCATACCAGGAATTGAAATGGTCATGGGCCGCACATAATATACAAGAATAAAACGATGAGCAGAAAACACCGGCTAATCACAAGTTAACGATCACTGATATAGATAATGTACTTGAGTAATAAAACTCCATTTTATTGTAATTTTTTTTTAATAAAAAAGGGGGAAACAAAACTAGTGCAATATTTAAAACTGTTTTTTGATAATTAAAGCATCAATATCTGGATGAATGGATGGAGTAGCAATTCTCAAGGTGCCATCAGCTATTTTGGATCTAGGTTTTGCCCTTAGTGAGCTTCATCTTTGAAAATAGTTACGCACAAATACTGTAGCTGCCGAAAAATGGATGACAATGAATAAGGCGCGATTGTGTAGAGTGGGAGATTAAAAAAAAAAAAAAAAAAAAAAAAGCCTGTTGGGCTGCAAAGAACGTTCAACTGTAGTTGGTTACTAATTTAAGAGGATCTATTCAGGTTACAGAAATCTGAACATGTGCATAGGTACTAAAAAGGGACAATAGACCAGCTGCGATTTCTCCTGCGCTCTAGGACCCAGACCGGTGGCAAATAGATGGAACCAACACCAGAGCAAGCGACCACCAGTATATTTCAAGGTTGTGCAGCTCCAAAACAGGGCTGGGGAAGCCCGATCAATACTGCAAAGTGAAACAAAAAACAAGAAGCGCACCAACCTTGCGCATTACCTCAGTAACAGGATTTAATAAAAAAAAGATAGGTACTCACAAACAGCGAATAAAATCAGGCATGTAGTCCTCAAAGGGACTTTAAAGATAAGAAGCCAGCGCGAATCCCATCATGGGGGTAGACACTCAGTAAATCTGACGCGTTTCACGTTTGTCTGAGGAAGAAGGCATAGCCTTCGAAACGCGTCAGCTATACTGAGTGTCTACCCCCATGATGGGATTCGCGCTGGCTTCTTATCTTTAAAGTCCCTTTGAGGACTACATGCCTGATTTTATTCGCTGTTTGTGAGTACCTATCTTTTATTAAATAAATTCTGTTACTGAGGTAATGCGCAAGGTTGGTGCGCTTCTTGTTTTTTGTTTCACTTTGCACTAAAAAGGGACACCCAGTGCCAAGTTTCCTGATAGAATTTTTTTTTAATTCCAATTAGACTTTACTGATATTCACCATCCTAACACTTGAAATTTGCTTTGTCATTCGCGCTTGCAAATCACAGCCAGTAATGAGTAGTGAGGGGCGGAGCCAAGCCATGCCCTGTGTGTCAATGGACACAGGAGAGCCAGATCAGGAGCGAGCATGCACGGGTGCGCCCATAGAGGAATTCTAGAGTTCTGTAGCATTGTATAAGCTCCTGCAATGGGTCCATCACCAGCAGAAGTCAAAGCTGCTACACTGATAACTTTAAAGGGGTTATAAGCCTCAGACATGAAATATGAACAAAGCATATCCCTCTATAGCAGTGTTTCTCAACTCCAGTCCTCATGGACCCCCAACAGGTCATGTTTTCAGGATTTCCCTCAGATGAAACAGCTGTGGTAATTACTAAGGCAGTGAAACTGATCAAATCACCGGTGCAAAATAATGGAAATCCTGAAAACATGACCTGTTGGGGGTCCATGAGGACTGGAGTTGAGAAACACTGCTCTATAGTGTGTACTTGTCTCCGTGTTATTTCTGTCTGCTGCCTCATTTCTCTGCTATCTGCATGAATCACTTTTGACAAGTTTTCCTGAGAAAAATGGTGACGGGGAGAGACCTAAAGCAAATTGACAGTCTCAGTTCTGTTCCTGTGAGCTGTGTGGAGGAGGAGGGGTCCCTTCCCTCCAATCAGCTCTCAGAGCTCTCCTCACTGAGCTCTGCATTGTGTAATTTCAGCTCCCTGCTTTCGGACAACTCAGTCAAATGTTAAAAAAAAATTCAGCACTTTGAAAAGCTGTAGAGAAAAAAAAAAAAAAAAAGTTTCAGATAAACAGCTACAACTTATGCAGGAGGATTTGGCCTCAGGTGATGCAGAGATATGAAACAGTCACTTCACTGGGTATATTTAAGGGTTAACCACTTCCTGCCCAGGCCAATTCTGACATCTCTCAGATATAAAAAGCAGTTTTGCTAGAAAATTACTTAGAACCCCAAAACATTTTTTGCATTGGCCTGTGACAAAAAAATTGCAACAACTGCCATTTTATTCTCACGGTATTTTACACTGAAATTTTTTCAAACCCTTTTTTTGGGAGAAAAAACCCACTTTATATTGCATTCCAGGTAAAAATTGAACCTAAGCTGTTACAACACCACACTATGAATCGCATAGGAATGGGCAATGCATTCCGGTGCAATTCACATGCAATTCTGTGTGCTGTGATTTGAGCCCATTCTGTTGATTGGACTTAAATTTCCCAGCATCAGGGGCGGACTGACCATTTGGAAACTCGGGCACTGCCCAAAGGCCCGGGGTCAGTAGGGGGCCCCATGAGATGCCCCTGGTACCTTTTTCATAAGGCTTTTTTGAGTTTGGGCAAGGACACAGGGGCCCCATGATCCCCTATTGCCCGGGAGCCCCATGAGTTGTCAGTCCGCCCCTGCCTAGCATCATACTAAAGTAGAAAACGCACTGCAACCAATTGCACGCAGTCATTTTGTACTGTGCAATCCAGGGCAGACAAACACCAAGTTTGGAACCTGTGTTGGGGGCGTCATTACCAATGCATTGGAAGGTCGCAAGGGCAGTGTGATTTGAATATGGTGTGGGAAACCCTTGGATCGCGAGTTCTAGTGTGAACGGGGCCTAAAGCTGGCCATGCATTAAACCAATTTTCTCATTCAATTTCCTTCAACTATGTAGTGGAAAGGGTCTGCCTACAGTAACCAAATTGAAAGTTTAGGCTTGACCATACATTATATTGGTTTTGGTAAATCTAAATAAAAAATTGAACATAGGGTAAGACTGGTCATACATTATACCATTTTTTTGTACAAAGATATTTCCATTCAGTCGAAAACCGTTGCAATTTCAACAACAATCAGAAGCTTTTTACCAGAGCCTGTGGGGCCCAGAAGCAGGATATTGCTTTTCTCCAGCTTGATGTCATCGTGATTGCAGTCCAGCACATCACCACCCCTCCTCTCCTGTGGCATCTGCTGGTTCACTTGCTGCTGCATGGAGGCTCCCAGAGCATTGCCATGTGGACTGATGCCGGCAATCTGCAGTAGTTCTGAAAAAAAAAAAAAAAAAAAAAAAAAAAAAAAAAAAATGTAATAGACGGAGAATTGGTTTTAAAACAATGTTACAAAATATAATCGTGCATTAACTACCAGGACTCCAAGTACAAGGCCACGGTCCAGCAAGTCAAGTGCATTTTGCTAATGGAGCAGAAAGTCACCAGCTTCACATACCCTCCTGGTGAGAACATCCATTTATTATACTGTGAGGAACCCAACTGAAGAGCACTACCTTAGCCTATCCTTTATAATGGTCCTTTATCTGGAGGAGCTAGCAAAGTATGTATTCTCACAGCCAAAATGGGATCACACCTATTTAACATTTTTACATTCACATAAAATATTTAAAAAATTGCTGTTGACATTTGCTTAACTACCCTGTAAAAATCTTACCTTCCTATCCCCGTCTATGCTAGGTTAAGTAAGGGGAAGTGGAGGTAATGTTCACCCTGATTAACCCCGTCTGTATGGTCTTTGTAGATCTCATTATCAGCTGTAAACCAGACATGCACACTAAAGCTGGTCATAGATTGATTAACCCACCTGCCCATAGATGGGTCCAATCTCAACCGGTCCCTGCTGAACCAGACGAGATTCAACTCTATTCAATCTATGGACAGGCGGGTTGTGCTAAAGTCAATACATCAATTGACTTCAGTACAACCAACCGGTCGGGTTTTTTTTTTCCCCCACGCAATTACTGCCAGCGGGCGGAAATAGCCGCTAGCAGTAATCATTGGAATGGCTCTCGCTGTTGTCCCAGGTAGGTATTGGGGGGGGTGATTGCCGCACACAATGCATGAAGGTAAACCCTGAGCCTTTACAACCACTTTAACCAAAAAAAAAAAAAAAAAAAAAAAATGTTAAAAACCAAACTCTAGGTATGATCTGTATTGCATAGCTGCATTGGTCCAGCTTTGGCACAGTGTTAGTATGTGGATCTCATACTTGAGAGGCCGCCGTGGAAGCCGATAAGGCGTTCTCTGGTTAACATCAACAGCCTACTCTGCTCCTCCTCCTAATCAGAGATGGTCTTCTATCCAAGAAAAAGAAGTTACAAGGCATTCCATGAATAATGCGAACAAAGCCCTGTGATCAGTATCCAATTGGCGATCAGGGATCCCCTACGCTCCATTAATACTCTGAATGTTCCAATCAATCAGTCATTCACATTCTCCATGCTTATGAGAGCTACGTACAGTACAGCTTGAAACCTCAACATACGGGCTTTGGCAGTCTCTTGGACACCGTTGATCTGATAGACTTTCATCCTGTGGTTTGAAAGGTGGTGCTCCAGCAAAACTATATGCCTGTTCAGCTCGTCCGGTCAATCTATACAGGTGAAACTCGAAAAAATTAGAATGCAAAAGTTCATTTATTTCAGTGCAGCAACTTAAAAGGTGAAACTAATATATGAGATAGACTCATTACATGCAAAGCAAGATAGTTCAAGCCGTGATTTGTCATCGTGACGATTATGGCTTACAGCTCATGAAAACCCCAAATCCACAATCTCAGAAAATGAGAATATTCCATGCAATCAATAAAACAAGGATTGTACATAGAACAATATCGGACCTCTGAAAAGTAGAAGCATGCATATGTACTCAGTACTTGGTTTGGGCCCCTTTTGCAGCAATTACTGCCTCAATGCGGCGTGGCATGGAAGCTATCAGCCTGTGGCACTGCTGAGGTGTTATGGAAGACCAGGATGCTTCAATAGCGGCCTTCAGCTCTTCTGCATTGTTCGGTCTCATGTCTCTCGTCTTTCTCTTGGCAATGCCCCATAGATTCTCTATGGGGTTCAAGTCAGGCGAGTTTGCTGGCCAATCGAGCACAGTAATCCCACGGTCATTGAACCAGGCTTTGGTGCTTTTGGCAGTGTGGGCAGGTGCCAAGTCCTGCTGGAAAATGAAGTCAGCATCCCCATAAAGCTCGTCTGCGGAAGGAAGCATGAAGTGCTCCAAAATCTCCTGGTAGACTGCTGCGTTGACCCTGGACTTCATGAAGCACAGTGGACCAACACCAGCAGATGACATGGCTCCCCAAATCAACAGACCGTGGAAACTTCACACTGGACTTCAAGCATCTTGCTGTGTGCGCCTCTCCATTCTTCCTCCATACTCGGGGTCCTTGGGCCTCTCCATTCTTCCTCCATACTCGGGGTCCTTGGGCCTCTCCATTCTTCCTCCATACTCGGGGTCCTTGGGCCTCTCCATTCTTCCTCCATACTCGGGGTCCTTGGGCCTCTCCATTCTTCCTCCATACTCGGGGTCCTTGGTTTCCAAATGAGATGCAAAAGTTGCTCTCATCAGAAAAGAGGACTTTGGACCACTGAGCAACAGACCAGGTCTGTTTTTTCTTTAGCCCAGGTAAGACGCTGACGTTGTTTGTTGTTCAGGAGCGGCTTGACGAGAGGAATACGACATTTGAAGCCCATGTCCAGGATCCGTCTGTGTGTGGTGGCTCTTGATGCACTGACTCCAGCCTCAGTCCACTCCTTGTGAAAGTCCCCAACACTTTTGAATGGCCTTTTCCTGACAATCCTACCAGGCTGCGGTCATCCCTGCTGCTTGTGCACCTTTTTCTTCCACGCTTTTCCCTTCCACATAACTTTCTATTAATGTGCTTTGATACAGTACTTTGGGAACATCCAACTTTTGCAATTACCTTTTGAGGCTTTCCCTCCTTATGGAGGGTGTCAATGATGGTTTTCTGCACAACTGTCAGGGCAACAGTCTCCCATGATTGTGATTCCTACTGAACCAGACTGAGAGACCATTTAAAGGCTCAGGAACCCTTTGCAGGTGTTATGGCTTAATTAGCTGATTAGAGTGGGACACTTTGAGCCGAGAATATTCCACCTTTTCACAATATTCTCATTTTCGGAGTTTGTGGATTTGGGGTTCTCATGAGCTGTAAGCCATAATCATCACAATGATGACAAATCACGGCTTGAACTATCTTGCTTTGCATGTAATGAGTCTATCTCATATATTAGTTTCACCTTTTAAGTTGCATTACTGAAATAAATGAACTTTTGCACGACATTCAAATTTTTTGAGTTTCACCTGTATATGCTGTGATATGTGCTCTCACACCATGATATTTTACTAGAGATGGACCATTAATGTAACTGCTGTTCTGTATATTAGCAAGTTACTATATGCTTTAGAGCCACACAGGGTTACCTGTATCATATTACCAGCCATACGGCTAATTGGCAGCTCACTTTGGTTAGGCCATCAGCCCTGGGTAGGGGTTATCACTCATGTAGTGAGGTAGTGGACAGGAGGGATTATAGTCAGTTTGTACAGTGGCAATCCCCAATTCTCTCTCTACCCGTGCCTCGGACTGATGGCTTGCCGTGTAACATGTAATGTGAGCTAGAGTATGAATCACAGTGTGACTGAGTGGGTGTGATGGGCCCGGGCTGTTGTGCTTCAAGGCAATAACATGATCAGACCTCGTTTTAAATGGTGACTGGAGGATAGTAGGTCAGATTGACCAATTTTATCATTTTTGATCTCAATAAAGCCATATTTGTTTGGTTACGCTGCAGTTGGTCCTCCTTTAAAGCCTCTTAAAGGGTGGGGCCTCTCTTGGTCCCCCCATTTGTTTTCTATGAGACATACATACTGACATTATTCCAAGCTGGACCAATACAAGTATGCAATAAAGATTGTATTTGGAATTCAGATTTAAAAGACAAGACTTGGGTGGTACATTGTATGTTACTACACCTAAAGTCCCTCATTCTCTTTGAATTGCACATTTAATTTTGGTGCCAATAGAGTCATATGCAGGGCTGCCTACTACTTTCCAGGTACTCCTGAACCAGCAGAGGGGCGAGCTGGGGGTTGTTGGGAAGAGGCAGAGGGAAGACAGCGACCACTAGACTGGCATGGCTGTGTGCCAGGAGTTAGTGGGCACCTCCATACCTTCCACCTGAAAGGTATGGAGGTGCCCACTAGAAGGACCTAGCTGTCTGCATTGAATGTGCCATCTTTTATTAACAATTGCTATATGGGAATGTCCCTTTGCTGAATATATGGGAATGTCCCTTTGCTGAACATCTGGGGATCCAAATACTGATAACTTTGAATACATTTTTCATATATTTAGTTGTAAGTGTTAAAATAAAAGTCGATGCACTGAAAGACTGGGACAGCCAGTGGGCGGATTCGGGAAGGGGGGAGGTTTATTTGCTGGATTTGCCCGTCTCTTTGCTGACTATATGGGGATGTCTCTTTGCTGGATTGAGCCATCTCTTTGCTGGATGTATGGGGATGCAAGCACGGATGACTTGGAATATGCTTTTCATTTAGTGTTAAAATAGAAAAGCGGATGCACTGAAGGACTCGGGTGGGTTGGCCAGTGAGTGGATTTGGTGGGACAGCCAGTGGGCGGCCCTGGGGAATGTTGGGGGGGGGGGGGGGTGGAGGGCTAGGCCTAAAGCAGTGTATGGGGCCCCCAAAATGTCTGAGCGGTAGATGTTTATTTGCCAAGCACGTACTCACTGCACGCTTCCAGCACAAAGACAGCTCTATGTCCGGACTAAAGATCTGTAGCTGATGGGACCAGATTCCAATCATGTAAGCACTACAAACAGTGGTCATGATCGCCAATCCTTCCCAACCCCCAGGTATCAACAGTTTAAAGAGAAGCTGGGGTGGACGGACGGAAAGGGGTAAAATTATATACACTTATCGCTTTAAAGTATACAGTATTTACACTTTTACAGCCAAATCTGGGATGACCCCCCCCCCCCCCCAAAAAAAAACAAAAAAAACCCAACAACTGTTTGTGGTACCATTCCCAGAACCAGGGATCCAAGAAGAGGAGAAACTCACAAGTGATGCAATCTGTAGACTTTGCTTTTAATGCAGAACTCCAGGAAAAAAATTTCCCCATGTAGTGGGGCTGTGCCCACACAAATTAACTACTAGTTTTTGTCTGGGGGTAAGGAAAACGGGGATATACTTACCTATTCCGCCAATCCTCCCAACGCAAGACTGGTCCATGCCACCACTGCCACCCGCCTCCCAGTGGTGTAGCGCCGTGGACTGTTCCTGATGTCACCACGCCCACAAAGCAGCTCTGGCGGGGACGACAGCAGGAACAGTCCACCACTGGATGTGGGGGGAGTGCCGCTTTCAGGAGTGGGTGTGTAAAGGCTCTACATTCACTCCTAGACAAAATGAGCAGTTAACCCATGCAGTGCAGGCACAGCCCCCACTACATGGGGAAATAAAATTCTCAAAGTTCTGCTTCAAGACAGGCCTCATTTAACGTTTGCCATAGAGCCAATATATTGTATAGCACTACGCAAACTGTTGCCGGTATTTAAATCCTGATTACTGCAAACAATATGCATGTAGTGTAAAACGATGCAACATGCAGGGTGCGCTGTGTTTAATGAGCTTTCAGACATGCGGTTAGTGGTACATGGCATTGACTGCTAGTGCTCAGTATATACTGTATAATCATACAAAAAAAAGGCACAAAAAATTAATTTGCCTATTTTCAACAACCTGGATTAAAAGGAACACTAAATTAATCTATAGTTAATCATAGTTTGTTTCTCAACACTGCCCTCCTGTTATATAATCTGCAGATATATCAGACTGCACCCGGAAAGCAGTGACTATGTAGAATTTGGAGTGTGACCACACCACTTGAGCAAATAGTTTGCAGAAGGGGATGGAACACCAGGGTTCAGTCAGATCAGTGCTGTGAGAGATTGTGCTATGGGAGAAAAACTTACTTGTGAATCTGTACTCATCTTCCCGTCTTCTGATCTCTATCTCTACAGAAAGGGGATTGAAACAGCGACAGGAAGAAATCATAAACAACCTGCTTAGATATGTCAAACCCCAAATCTGTAGGGTACAGCCACCCTCTTCTAGGTAAGAATATACAGTGGGGCAAAAAAGTATTTAGTCAGCCACCAATTGTGCAAGTTCTCCACTTAAAAAGATGAGAGAGGCCTGTAATTGGCATCATAGGTAGACCTCAACTATGAGAGACAAAATGAGAAAAAAAATCCAGACAATCACATTGGCTGATTTGGAAAGAATTTATTTGCAAATTATGGTGGAAAATAAGTATTTGGTCAATATGAAAAGTTCATCTCAATACTTTGTTATATATCCTTTGTTGGCAATGACAGAGGTCAGACGTTTCCTGGAAGTCTTCACAAGGTTGGCACACACTGTTGCTGGTATGTTGGCCCATCCTCCATGCAGATCTCCTCTAGAGCAGTGATGTTTTGGGGCTGTCGCTGGGCAATACGGACTTTCCACTCCCTCCAAAGGTTTTCTATGAGGTTTAGATCTGGAGACTGGCTAGGCCACTCCAGGACCTTGAAATGCTTCTTACGAAGCCACTCCTTCGTTGCCCGGGCGGTATGTTTGGGATCATTGTCATGTTGGAAGACCCAGCCACGTTTCATCTTCAATGCCCTTGCTGATGGAAGGTTTGCACTCAAAATCTCACGATACATGGCCCCATTCATTCTGTCCTGTACATGGATCAGTCATCCTGGTCCCTTTGCGGAGAAAAACAGCCCCAAAGCATGATATTGCCACCCCCATGCTTCACAGTAGGTATGGTGTTCTTTGGGTGCAACTCAGCATTCTCTCTCCTCCAAACACGACGAGTTGCGTTTCTACCAAACAGTTCTATTTTGGTTTCATCTGACCATATGACTTTCTCCCAATCCTCTTCTGGACCATCCAAATGCTCTCCAGCAAACTTCAGATGGGCCCGGACATGTACTGGCTTAAGCAGGGGGACACGTCTGGCACTGCAGGATCTGAGTCCCTGGCGGCGTAGTGTGTTACTGATGGTAGCCTTTGTTACGTTGGTCCCAGCTCTCTGCAGGTCATTCACTAGGTCCCCCCGTGTGGTCCTGGGATTTTTGCTCACCGTTCTTGTGATCATTTTGACCCCACGGGGTGAGATCTTGCATGGAGCCCCAGATCGAGGGATATTATCAGTGGTCTTGTATGTCTTCCATTTTCTAATTATTGCTCCCACAGTTGATTTGTTCACACCAAGCTGCTTGCCTATTGCAGATTCAGTCTTCCCAGCCTGGTGCAGGTCTACAATTGTGTTTCTGGTGTCCTTCGACAGCTCTTTGGTCTTCACAACCTCAAACAGTCACACTCCAAACTCCACTATGGTGGACAAATGTCTTTTATACTGATAACAAGTTCAAACAGGTGCCATTGATACAGGTAATGAGTGCAGGACAGAGGAGCCTCTTAAAGAAGAAGGTACAGGTCTGTGAGAGCCAGAAATCTTACTTGTTTGTAGGTGACCAAGTACTTATTTTCCGCCATAATGTGCAAATAAATTCTTTCCAAATCAGCCAATGTGATTGTCTGGATTTGTTTTCTCATTTTGTCTCTCATAGTTGAGGTCTACCTATGATGCCAATTACAGGTCTCTCATCTTTGTAAGTGGGAGAACTTGCACAATTGGTGGCTAAATAAATACTTTTTTGCCCCATTGTAGATCAGATTCTACGGAACACCAACCAAAAATGATTGTTTTGTGTGGCAACATTCAACCCTGGACCACAGCTACTGCACTCCAGGACTTAAAAAAAAAAAAAAAAAAAAAAAGTTCCTTAGCAAGGTCAAACATTGGCATCCCTGCATTTGTCGGATAACGCATCACTACGCCCAGAAAATTGCTGCAATTACAAATGTTTAGGCATTCTCATGTTTATTTCTTTTGATTGTAATGGTATGACAAAAAAAAAAAAAAAAAAAAAAAAAAACACATTTCACGCAAAACCCCAAAAATGGACTGGGCAAAACGATTGGCATCTTCTCAAAATTGTAAGAAATAATTGCATTCTAAGTTTGTGATGCTCCTGTAATTTGTAATTAATTTCATCTGAATGAACAGGTGCTGACAATATAGAAATCTCACCGGCAACCAGCTAAAATGGTGAGAAATTGACTCAACCTTTCTGTTGCGCATCTGTGCCGCATGGAGCATGGAGAAGAGAAAGGGCAGCAAAGAACTGTCTGAGGATTTGAGATCAAAAATTGTGGAAAAGCATGGACAATCTCAAGGTCCGTCTCCAGACATCTTTATGTTCTTGTGTCCACTGTGCACAACACCGTCAAGTTTACAGCCAATGGCACTGTAGCTAACCTCCCTGGACATGGATGAAAGAGAAACTGATCAAAGATTGCAACAAAGGATTGTTGGAATGGTGGCTAAAAGAACCTCGATCAACTTCTAGACAAATGCAAGCTGACCTTCAGGCACAGGGTACAACTGTCAGCTTGCACTGATGAAAAAGACGCTATGTAGGAGACCCAGAAAGACCCCACTGCTGACACACAAACATATAAAGCCAGATTGGAGTTTGCCAAAACTTACCTGAGGAAGCCAAAATCTTTTTGGGAGAAAGTGCTGTGGACAGACGAAACAAAATTACAGCTTTCTGGTAAATCCCATCATTCTGTTATCAGAAAAAGCAATGAGGCCTTTAAAGAAAAGAATACATCCCTACAGTCACACATGGTGGTGGTGGTGGTGGGGGGGGGGGGGGGGGGGGGGGGGTCACCTTGCTGCTTCAGGCACTGGATTTCTTGATCGTGTGCATGGCATTATGAAATCTGAAGACTACCAACATTCTGGGGTGCAATGTAAGGCCCAGTGTCAGAAAGTTGGGTCTCCATCAGAGGTCATGGGTCTTACAGCAGGACAATGACCCAAAGCACACATCAGTACTCTAATGCTTTTTTTGAAAATTTGTGGGTGCTTTTTGAACTGGCCAGCAATGGGTCCAGATTTCAATCCCATAGAGCTCCTGTGGAGAGATCTCAAAACAGCAGTTGGGAAATCCAATCAGAAACCTGGACCAGTTGGTGAAAGAAGAGCGCTCCAAAATTCCATTAGAGGAGGTGGAAGAAACTCATTGATGGTTACAGGAAGCTACTGATTTCAGTTATTTTTTTCCAAGGGGTGCGCTACCAAATATTAAAATAAGGGTGCCAATCATTTTGTCCAGTCCATTTTTGGGGTTTTTGCGTGGAAGGTGTCAGATTTGGCTGTTTTGTTTGTTTCTTCACTTTTGTGAAATACCAATACAAAGAAATTTGTACCGAAACATTTGTAATTGCAACAATTTTCTGGGCGAAGTGGTGCATTATCTGACAGAAATGCAGGGGTGCCAATATTTTTGGCCATGACTGACTGTATATGCCAAAAAAATTTAGTGTGCTGTAAATTGCTTTCAGCACTGCTCCTATTTCTTCTTGCTGGAAGATGCAACTGAAGCCCAGAGTCCTGAGCAGTGGTAAATCTTGAAGCTGTCAGCAGATTGACCTCTAAAAATTCAGCTTGGTGCAAAAAAAAAAAAAAAATTAAAAAAAATCACGCAACTGAGCAGGTGCAGAGCAGGGTGGGACAGTATTACTGGATTTTTAAAACTGTATAGACACTTAATTTTTAAGGTTTTACATAAATATGCCTGAAAAAGGGGGCCAGCCTGAAGAAATCCAGCAGGACAATTTTCTGACTAAAGTTCCACTTTAAAGTTCATCTCCAGGAAAAGGGAAATACTCCCTTGCAGTGGGGCTGCCTGTGCACTGCAAGGTCTAGGGGCCATAAAATCTGTTTTACTTACCCATTTCTATGTTCCTCTGGCACCCAGTTCTCACCACCCCTTGGCGGCCTCATGTCCAATGCCGGGCATTGAACTTGAAAACGTTAGAGAAAAAATGCGACTGCTTGAGCATAGCAGGGAAAAAAAAAATAAATAAAATAAAAAAAAAAAAAAAGGCTGCAGTAGCCGATCTTATAGCCTGAGGGAACATAAGTCTGATGCTGCATCTGTCCCCTGCCGGCTCTTAAAAAGTGAACTCAGCAATCACACGACTGCTGTGCTCAGATAACTCGGGAATCAGCAGAGTTGTCAGCCCCCCAACGCTCACTGGAGCACTGGGCTGTGAAAGGGAAGGAGCGGCTGGCTCAGGCTCTCAGCGGCTCGCTGAGAAGCTGTGCCAGGTGCCACTCTAGGCTCTGGGGTGGATCCGGACTTTGAAGTTCAGATCTTTCCACAGCCTAGACCGGCTGACATCAGCAGACTTTAGTCAGCTGAAGTGGGCCACAGGAGGAGGAGAGCAGAGCAAGCGGCCCCCAGTGGGCCACAGGAGGAGGAGAGCAGAGCAAGCAGCGCCCCAGTGGGCCACAGGAGGAGGAGAGCAGAGCACCCCCCCAGTGGGCCAGGAGGAGGAGAGCAGAGCAAGCGGCCCTCCAGTGGGCCACAGGAGGAGGAGAGCAGAGCAAGCGGCCCTCCAGTGGGCCACAGGAGGAGGAGAGCAGAGCAAGCGGCCCTCCAGTGGGCCACAGGAGGAGGAGAGCAGAGCAAGCGGCCCTCCAGTGGGCCACAGGAGGAGGAGAGCAGAGCAAGCGGCCCTCCAGTGGGCCACAGGAGGAGGAGAGCAGAGCAAGCGGCCCTCCAGTGGGCCACAGGAGGAGGAGAGCAGAGCAAGCGGCCCTCCAGTGGGCCACAGGAGGAGGAGAGCAGAGCAAGCGGCCCTCCAGTGGGCCACAGGAGGAGGAGAGCAGAGCAAGCGGCCCTCCAGTGGGCCACAGGAGGAGGAGAGCAGAGCAAGCGGCCCTCCAGTGGGCCACAGGAGGAGGAGAGCAGAGCAGCGGGCCCTTGGGCCACAAAAAAAGTTAAAAAAAAAAAAAAAAAAAGTTTGCATGTACTTCTCCTTTAACACTTGCAATGCAGGGGCAGTTCCACTATAGAGGAGCATTTTTGCTTTGCTTGGA